ACAAACACATCTAGAAGGTTACTGTGCTACAAACACATCTAGAAGGTTACTGTGCTACAAACACATCTAGAAGGTTACTGTGCTACAGACACATCTAGAAGGTTACTGTGCTACAAGACACATCTAGAAGGTTACATTGTCACAGACACATCTAGAAGGTTACATTGTCACAGACACATCTAGAAGGTTACTGTGCTACAAACACATCTAGAAGGTTACATTGTCACAGATAAATCTAGAAGGTTACATTGTCACAGACACATCTAGAAGGTTACATTGTCACAGACACATCTAGAAGGTTACTGTGCTACAAACACATCTAGAAGGTTACATTGTCACAGATAAATCTAGAAGGTTACATTGTCACAGACACATCTAGAAGGTTACTATGTTACAAGCCTGAGTTGAATCAAAGGCATTTTTTATGTCAAATGTGGCCTAAGTATCCAGTCAACATTATCATTGATTGTAGTTGGAACATACATATTTTATTTAAGACAAAGAACTTTATTGTTTATTGTATGATTGTTGCAGTGAAGGAAATGCCTCATTGAACTCTTTGATCGACACGGTGCATCAAGCTAGGGCCATCGAGTTGTTGATCATTCATGTAAATGAAATTTTTGGACCACCTGAAGTAGCCTATCCAGACATTCTTCAGGAACTAGAGGAGTTAAATAGGATGAAACCATTGAATAAAAGTAGGTTATCATTACTCTTTTCAAATTAAACATAGGTTTGTTTCAATAAAGATAATACGTAACATGTATAAAAGGTTAGATTTACTCATAACAACAATAAAGATAATATGTAACATGTATAAATGGTTAGGTTTACTCATAACAACAATAAAGATAATATGTAACATTTATAAGGGGTTAGACTTACTCATAACAACAATAAAGATAATATGTAACATGTATAAATGGTTAGACTTACTCATAACAACAATAAAGATAATATGTAACATGTATAAATGGTTAGACTTACTCATAACAACAATAAAGATAATATGTAACATGTATAAATGGTTAGACTTACTAATAACAACAATGAAGATTATATGTAACATGTATAAATGGTTAGACTTACTTATAACAACTATAAAGATAATATGTAACATGTATAAAGAATTAGACTTCCTCATAACAACTATATTTGAATTTCTAGGATGGACTCGTCGAGAAGTTCACTGTCATCGGCAGTTTCTAGGCTAAAGTTGTGGTCATCACTGACTTCACTTGTAGCTGATACTGACCGTTGTACAGGATGATTCTCAACTGTTGATGACAAGGTCATGTAGATGTTAATAGTCCCATTAACTTTATTAATATATTACATGCTCAATATTGATTTTTTTAAATCAACTTCTGTTAACTATTTCATAACCAAGACAATTTTCTAATTTAAAATTAACAAAGCAAGTTTCTAAGAAGCTTACTAAGAAATATTTGTAAGAGAGAGCAAATAGAAGTTACTCTTCGTTTTAAGTTTTATACATTTTTATGTACAATTTCGATACATCTACAAACACTACTACATATACTTATCAACTTCTGTACTTACTCATTTCATTTACAATTCACTAATAGTCTTTTATAACAAAATAGTTGCAAGACATGAAAGCTTTATATTTGTTTTAGAACTTTCATCTGAAGCTACACAAAGGGCTATCTGTGCAAAACTATTTTTAATTATTAAGTGATAGACTACAGGTAAAGCAGCTACTATTGTCTGGCCAAATGGTGGGACTTAACTATCACTCTTATAACTCACACACAGTCCTAAAGTGCAAAGCACATTTTTGTGGTGATCAGATACAAACTACAAGTCTTCAGGTTCACTATAACCACTAGACCGGACCCGATTTTCTACGGAATAGTTTGACAGTTCTAGTTTCACTAAGATTATATCCAACCAGAACAAAGTTGTCACTTGGTGTGCACCAGTAACTGTGATCATTTTATGAAGCACAATTACAATATACATAACTTTACATCCACTGCATCATTCTAGCATTCAACATACATACAAATTATTTAACCTACTGTTAATTAAATGTTGTATATGATCATGTCTCACAGTTAGAGATGAAACAGATAGCCCTTTCGAAACTTGAAACTGTTCGTAAGTTAAGTGGGTACCTCTTAAAAAGTTCTCTTGACCAGGACGTTCCAGAGTCCGTAAGGAGCAAGCTATCCAGGTGTGACTCAGGTAAAAACTATGAACCACTTGCTGTTTTTACGTCGTATTGTGAGTATAGTAATATACTTGGTCAACTGTGGAAACCCATTATTTCTCTGATTAAACAGCTACATATTTGTAAACACACGTTTATGTATTTTGATTAACCCATAAACCCTTTTACATACATAAACACCTCTTTTGTATATTTCTAATAAGTAGTTGTAGGTAGATAAACAATTTTAATCCTTTCCTGAATGTTTATAAATGAACAAACATATCCTTGTGTAGGTAGATAAACAACTTTAATCCTTTCCTGAATGTTTATAAATCAACAAAACATATCCTTGTATAGGTAGATAAACAACTTTAATCCTTTCCTGAATGTTTATAAATCAACAAAACATATCTTGTGTAGGTAGATAAACAATTTTAATCCTTTCCTGAATGTTTATAAATCAACAAAACATATCCTTGTATAGGTAGATAAACAACTTTAATCCTTTCCTGAATGTTTATAAATCAACAAAACATATCCTTGTATAACTCAGAGAGCAAATAAACAAATGTATTTTTTATCTTACCAAATTTGTGATATAAAACATGGAATCGTAAGATATGTGATATAAAGCATGGAATCGTAAGATATGTGATATAAAACATGGAATCGTAAGATATGTTGGTATAAACAAGGAATCGTAAGATATGTGATATAAAGCATGGAATCGTAAGATATGTGATATAAAACATGGAATCCTAAGATATGTGATATAAAACATGGAATTGTAAGATATGTTGGTAAGAAAGGATGTGGGTTGGTCTTAAGGTAAAGGTTTCGATTTTGGAGCTGGTGAGCCAGGTTTAAATCCATACAGTACTACAACATAAGCTGTGGATGATCTATAAGAACGACAGTCAATCCCTTAGCATAGATGGTGTGTGGTAATGTAATGTTGACTGGCTGCTTTCCCTCTGATCAGTAGTTCAAAATCATGGATGGCAGCAGATAGACTGTAGTAACTTGGAATATAAATACAAAATACCAATACGTTACTGAGAATAGGTTAGTTTCATATATATATATATATATATATATATA